GTGAATGGCAGCCACTTTTCCTCGTTGTGGTGGTCCTCGTGCATGTGTTGTGCATCGCACGCTGTGCCGTCACACTGTATGGATGACTCTATTGTTTTGGCTGCCCGTCGGGACTATGCCTATTGTTCCCATCTCTCTCATTTTCCTCCTTTGATTGGTGGTCAGTGTTCGGCTTTAACTCGAGCCAACTGCGGGGACAAGGGGAAACAATGCGTGGAAAGCGCAAGAGAGTGCATGGCGATCATGAGGGCCCTGCGCCCACTGTGCCGCGGGGAGATGGTCGGAGGGGAGCGAGGCCGGAGACCCACAGAGACACGGATCAACCCGCTACGACTCGCAGAAGGGCGAATGAGGTGCAGCGATTAATGTGGGCTATTTACAGTCTGGTGGAAGGGTAATTGCCGCAGGGATTGTACGAGTCTGTGTAGAATGCGAGGTGGAGCCATGTTGTGGAAGTTTCTGGCGGCGAGTGGACGGGAATGGAAGTGAGGGAAAGGAGGAACCACCGCAGTCATGGACGTACAGGGAAGTTGGTCGAACCCTCGAAAGGGATGACGGTGTGCAGCAATCCGGTGTACCACGTCTCAGGCTGATGGTGCGCACCTCGGACAAGGGATGGCCGTACTCGTGGGAGGAGGATGAATCCACTCGTGACTGCCATGTGAACCGTGAGGTGGAGCGAGTGTGGCACACCGTCAGGAATGCTCTAACCGGATGGTTCAGCAGTCACATTGGGACTGAATTTACGCCTGGGCGGCGTGTGTTTGGGACGCCCGGGATCGGGAAGTCGATGGCTGCCGGTTCGTACCTCCTCTACCAGCTGCTGCACGGCGATGCGGAGCGACTCCCTGCGGTTGCGTGCTTTATTTGTAATTGAGCATCCCTGTTTGACAAGACAACCCAAACTGTGCGAGAATACATGGGTACTACAACATCTAAGAGAGTCTTTTTTTTTTTTTTTGGCAGCTGTGAGGCTGTGCGGCAGCGTGCTTGCCGTGCGTCTCTCATCTTTTGCCGTTGCTCCCTCGTTGTGTTGGTGGGGGAGGAGGCGAGCGGCTGCGTCGGTGGAGTTGCGCCCCAGTGGGAGAGGGAAGGCGCTGACCGCCGCTGACGGTGACGGTGACGGTCTTTGCTGCAGGCGGTCTGACGGGATGACGTCACCGGTGTCACAGTCAACCGAGGTGGATGAGGGCCGCGCTGCGTCTCTGTCCCCTCTCTTCGTCCTCTCAGTCCACTGCAGTCACAACCGCCGCGCGGCATCTGCACGACTACCATCCGGACGTCTGTGAGCCAATCGGAATGTAAAATTAGTGTGGACCCTTTTCCCCGTGACCAAGTGCTGCCGCCGTGCTTCTTTGTGTTTCCTTTGTTGTGTATGCCGTGCGCGCATGGTGCCGCTGCTTGCTGCACAATGCCGACTCGCGTGAACGAGAAACGAGGCATTGACTGCTGGGGGCCGGCGAGCTCTTCACTCCACTTACGCACCACCAACACCAACACTTTTTGTACGCGCTTGATGGCTGGCGGTCGTAACGCTGCCACGTGGTCTGCCTCGGCTCTTGTGTGTTGTGCACGGCATCGGGGCCGCCCTGTGATGCAGCCATTCGGTAACAGGAGCGATGCCAGTGGTCATTTGACTTTCTGCCGAGATTCCGCCACTCGGCACGGTGGCTGTGTGGGGTTGTGTGGGAAGTGGGAGGGAGATGGTGTCACTGAGTTGATTGCGTCAGCGCGGCTTTGCTTCGGCGGCTGTACTGTGACGGGGCTTGTGTATGACCGGATGTTTTTGCGTTCCACTGTGTTTGTTTACTGTTGTCGCTGCTTTTATTCCTTTTTTGACCGTGCAGTTAGAGACACTTTTGATTGACCAGCACAACTATCGTTTCAAGGTGTTAGGAGTTAATTGCAGTATTAGGATTAGCAGTATTAGTATAACGATCTGGCGGAATCGTGTCACTGGATTCGCCATCTGTAGGAAGAGATTTGCTAGGCAGGAGTTAAGGTCGACGGTGCGAGAGCGACACACCACGACAGCTCTGTTGGTAACTGTTTGGGTTGGTGGATGTGGTCTTCTGTGGGTGCGTGTCCGCGCAGCCGGCACCGTGTGCGGCGCAGGGTCATTGCGGCTGTGCGTGTGGCGCTGCTCGTTGTGTTGGCGCTGGTTGCTGCGGCGGCGTGGATGCCCGCGGTGCATGCGGTGGTGTTGCGACTGCGGGGCGGCACGGTGGACAGAGCCATCATGGTTGGCCGCGCCGTGGGCACGGTGCTGATGGACGGCGTGTACATCACGAACGGCGTGGCTGTGGTGTTCGACGTGCCGGCGATGCTTCCCGGCTCGCTGCGCATTGAAATGAGGGACTGCGTCTGCGACGGCGGTGCGCAGATCTACGTGCGGGGCTACAGCGGTGAGCCGGCGAGTGACCGGAGCCTGGAGGTGAGCGTGAGCGGGCTGTCCGGCGGCTACTGCTCGCTCGTGTTTGTGGAGAACCTTCCGGCACACACGAACGTGACGGTCCGCGACTCGAAGATTGTGACGGCGGGACCGATGCGCTACTCGCAGCTGAGCGGGCTGACGTACGCGGTGGCGTCGCCGCTTGTGCTGTACGCGACCTCGCTGTCGCTGACGCAGCTGCGTGTGAGCAACACTGTGCTGAGGTCGTTGCAGGCGGGCGGGTCGGCGGTGTACGTTGGCGGCGGCGTGGACCTGCTGTCGAGCGCGGTGGTGCTTGACGGCGTGTTGCTGGAGGCGTCGGGCGGTGCGACCGCGTCCGCGATGCATGTGGCGTCCTCGTCGCGTCTCAGTCTGCGGAGCCACTCGGTGTTATCCGTGACGAACGTGTCGGTTGTGAGCAGCGGCGGCGGCTTTGTGCTTGGAGAGCGCCTTGCGCTGTCCGACTCGGTGCTGCGCTTCGTGGGCGTTGAGGGGTCTGTTGCGTCGTCGCTTGTGCGCTGCGACGGTGGGACGGTCAGTGCCGGCGGGTGGCTGGACCTGCACGACGTGTGGGCGGTGGGCGAGGCGTCGTCTGTGGCGTCGCTGTCGGGGGTGACGCTGAGCGGCGGCACCGTGTCGATTGCGCGCTGCGCTGCCATCGGCGCGACGCTTGTCTCCGGGCTGGCGATCACGAGCGGCGTCGTGTCGGTGCAGTGCAACCGTGCCGGCGGCCGGGTGCTGCAGAGCAGCGGTGACTACCGCATGGCCGGCCTGCCCTCCGTGAGCGTGGTGCCGTGCGACGGCTGTGCGGCTGCGCTGGCATGCTTCGATGCGCTGACGGCGTCGTTCACTGACTGCGTGTGCGGCTGCCGTGCCGGCGGTGTGGGCGAGGCGTGCCTGCCGTTCGACGTGCCGCCTGCGAGGGCCGGCGGCGGTGGTGGCGGCGCGGAGGACTGCGTGAGTGGCGTGACGCTGACGGAGTCGGTGACGTTCGGCGGTGGGCGGGCGACGGCGTGCTTCGACTCGGCGGTGTTCAGCGGGCCGATCACTGTGGCGGTGGACCTGCGCTCGATGGATGCGTTCGCTGACGCGCTGAACGTGACGCTGCGCCACTGCGTGCTTGAGGGCGGCGCGCAGCTGCGAATTGGTGGCCTCAGCGAGAGCACGGCACGCCTGATGCCCCACGCTTTCGTCAACATGACGAATGTAACGTCGCTGGAGGGCACGATCGTGCTGCATGGCGCGATGCCGCTGCACTCGAGTGTGCTGCTGGCGAACTCAACGCTGCGTGCGACGGTTGGCGGGTCGCAGTACGTGCCGACGACCCGTGGCCACGAGGGATTTCGGTGCGGCCCCGCGCTTGTCCTGGACGGTGTCCGGCTTCTGTCGACGCGGTTTGTCATGACGCGGTCGACGCTGGTGTGTGGCGGGGGTTTGTGCGCTGCGATCCTTGTGGAGCGCGGCCTTTGCGCCAACCTGTCCAGCGTATTCTACATGGACAACTGCGTTGTCATGTCGCGGACGCACGTAATGTACGCTCTTACGTCGGAACTGCGTGTTGTCGGCGGCTCTGTGTTCTCCATACAGAACAGCTCGTGGAGTGCGCCGAGCATTGGCTTCTACGAAGGCGCGTGTGTGTTCAAGGATGTTGTTGTGGATAGCGGCAGCGTGCTGCAGATTGTGTCCAGCATTTTCCGTCTTGGCTTTGCCATGCTCATGGCAAACACACTGACCGTGGTTGGTGGCAGCTGGCTGGTGCACCGCAACAACGAGTTCCACACCGCCTACGTTGTGTACGTGGACAGCGGAAACGGCGTTGCGTTCCGCGATCAGAGTGTGTGGTCGATACTTGACAACAACTTCACGTACGGCTCGTACTCGTCAAAAATTGTAAGTATGACAAGCAACTGGTCACCACCATCCGACTCGCACCCGACCATCTACGGCGTGTGCAACGAGGCAAGGGGCTCTCCCGTGACGGATTACGGAGTCGTCCTCAATATTGGAGCTCCCGTGATGGTGTTGGACTGCGGTGCGTGCACCATGGACGCCGTGTGCTTCGCTGCGAGGACGAGCAGCATCAGCGGCTGTGTGTGTGTGTGCGCTGCTGGCGGCTACGGTGACACGTGTCTGCCAGCTGCGGTTCCGGACGGCCTTGGGTCTCTCCCGCTTCCCGATGCGAAGGACACGGAGGTCCGCTGCGTGCACGGTGGCAGCATCGACTCTTTGGACGTTCCTGATCCCGGCGTGCGTGGTTTGTGCTTCGTCAACGTGACCTTCACCGCTGCGATTGCGCTGGACCTGTCGTATTTTGACGCGCCACAGCAGACACTCAACATCACGCTGCTGCAGTGCGTCCTCATGGGCCTGTCGATCAAGGGGAGTGGTGCGCGCGTGCATGTGAGCGTGGTCTCCTCGATGATGGATTCCGGAGTGTTGGAGCTTGAGGGTAGTTTTGGTGCGAGCTCCCAGATACTGGTGGCGGGCAGTACGCTTGTGTCGACGTGGAGACACGCCATTGCCTTTCCGGAATTTTTCCTCGGTGCGAACTCGACGCTGCTGCTGCTTGACAACTACATCGAGGGGAGTAGTTACGCAGTTTATTTCATCGATGCTGTTTTTGTTGATGGTGGCGGGATTATTGTGAAGGGAAATACACTGAGGGCAACGGAGAATAACGGTGCGGAATCAGCCGTTCGCGTTTACGCTGTTGTTATGAAGAACGGAGGCTACTTTGACGTGGAGAACAACACGATGAGCGCGGTAAATGGCATTTATCTTTTTGGGGATACCACCGTGAGGTCCGCGGGGCTGCTGCGAGTGGCGGACTGCACTTTCATTGGCAGGACGGAATTTTTTGATCCCGCGCTGGTGTATTTGTCTGGCTCGGTGACACTCGAGGGCGGTGCGCAGTGGCGTGTGGAGAGCAACAGCGTGGGTGCGGCCTCAGTATTAACTATTCCGTATTCCGGGCTCAAGCTTCAGCTGTCGGGCAGCGGCACCACCGTGGCGCTATCAAACAACCGTCAGGTGGAGGGAAGCGCAGTCTTTGCCAAGCTTCTTCCACCGAACACGATTGTGGAGTTACCCGCGCGGTTTGTGGTGGGGTGCAACCTGCAGGGCGATGAGGAGTTGTCCTACGACGGTGTGTTTCCGGGAGAAGTGGTGCTGTTCAGGTGCGGCGCATGCGACGACGACGCGGCGTGCTACATGCCCGGGACGGAGTCGGTGGACCGCGGCTCGTGCTCGTGCAGCTGCAAGGACGGATGGCACGGCGCGTCGTGTCTTCCCCTCGAGGTGCCCGACACCATTGCGCTGCCCTTGCCGGAGAGAGCCGTCGACGGCGACACGAGCTGCGTGGTGAACCAGACGCTGACGAGCCTCGCGCTGAACATGTGGAAGACGCACCACTGCTACGTGGGTGTGACATTCAGCGGCGTGGGTGCCGTGCTGACGTTCTCTCTTAACAGTATGCCACTGCATCTCCCCATTAACATCACGCTCAATGGGTGCACATTCCGCGAGGGTGCCGTGCTGCAGTTTGTTGGGGGTGCTGAGGCGGCGGAGTCATCCGGCGTCCTTATCCGCGTGAGCCGGACGGTGATGCGTTCCTCTGCCGTTGCTTTTATACGTGCCTTCCCGCAGCACTGCGACATCGCCGTCACGGAGGTTGATGCGGTGCAGACCTTCGAGTTCGACTTACCGGGCACTGTGAGCAAGAAGCTGAGCGTATTGCTGCTGAGGAACGTCGTGCTGAGTGCGTCGACGCTGTTGGTCAGCAACGTCAATGCGCATGCATTGAGGTGTGGCGGGTATGGTTTGTACTCGATTGGGACGCTGTTGCTGGTGGGTGGCAGCTCTCTTTACACGCGTTACTGCAGCTTTGATGGATACACATACTTGTTGTACGTGTACAGGCTCAGTGTGAGTGACCATTCTGTTTTTGCGCTGCTCAACAACACAATGTTCTCCGGGACAAGCCTCCTGTATCAGAGCGATGCATTCAGCGTGTCGGATCACAGCGTGTTGCGCGTGGTAGGGAACCGCGTCTTTTCATCCTATGCTATTTACGCTAACGTATTGTGGACTGTTCAGCGGTCAAGCTGGTTGGACTGGCGCGACAACAACGTGGGATTGGGAGCGATTTTCAAAGTATGGGATTCCGCCTTTGTGAGCATTGACGGCAGCAGTGTGGTGACGCTGACGGGCTGCAAGATGGGCTCGACGGGGCTGTCGGTACCTCTGCTATCGCAGGCTGACGCCGGCTATCGGTTCGTTGCTGGGTGTTTGACGGTCGCGGAACGGGTGCAGACTACGGCGGAAGAACTGGAGCTCCACGGCATCACCAACGTGACGACGGTTGTCGCGTGCGGGGAGCGCACGAAGGACGGCGACTGCTTTGCTCCGCTGACGACAGCGGTCATTGACTGCAAGTGCCAGTGCGCTGCTGGAGGGCACGGCGATGTGTGTGTCCCGGCGCCTGTGCCTGCTGGCCCGCCGCCACCGCCGTCGCCGCCACTGCGGCCCATTCCGCCACCGCCGCCGGTTGGTGGGTGCATCAGCGACATGGTGTACCCCGAGGTTGCGCAGACAGTGGGCAGCGGGCTGTCGTGGCTGTGCTACCGCAACGTGACGTTCAGCGGGGATGGCATGAGCCTGACGGTGCTGATTGGGGCGATGACGGGCGAGGTGGCGAATGTCACGTTCGATGGATGCACGTGGAGGGACGGTGCCGTGCTGGTGCTGGCGGGCAACGCGTACGCCTTTGTGGGGTCGCTGAACATCGTTGTCACCGGCAACACATTTAGTGACGCACTGCTCAGCCCGGAGGGTGGGTTTCCACCGCGCACGAACATCACGATTAGCGGGAACCGCTTCACGGTCACGAGGCTGATCCCTCGGTCGGGTTTGGGAGCTATGAGCCCGTCGTGTGTTGCGATGAATGGACTGGTGATCGCCAAAGACTCCGCGGTGGTGCTGAGCAGCAATGTGTTTCAGACCGTGACGGTATCGTCAATCGCCATCTACTTTGTCGGATCTTCGCTGAGGGTGTCGTGGCACTCCGTTTTTGCGGTGATGGGCAACACGTTTCATATGGACGGCGGTGACGGTACGCCAATACATCTTGAGGGGTCAAGCCAACTCTCATCGCTGAAGGTGCAGAACAATTCTGCTGTGGTGATCCGAGGCAATGTTGTTTCGAGGCCGGTGAGGCACTTTTTATTACTAATTTTGGCATTGCGTTTGGAGTCTCGGTCAGCGTTTTTGTTTCAGGGCAACGAAATGCAGAGAAGCTCGGTTGTGTTTTTTTCAAGCCACTCTTCATACATTTACTACAACTCCTGGCTGCAGGTGAGCGGCAACCTCTGCCACATGTCCCCATCGGATGCGTTTGCACTATTGAACCCCACAGTGAATCTCCACGACTCCATTGTGTCTGTGTCTGGCAACCGATTCATGTCCAGCACGGACACGCCGGCAGTGCTGCGGATACCCACGGGGTCCCAATATCTCACAAACGGAGCGATTGTGGCTGCGTGCAACACCGTGAACGGCGAGGAGGGGGTGCAATACGTCATCCCGTCCGTGTACAATGCCACCATTCTGAACTGCAGTGATCCATGCATCCTTGCGACGTCGTGCTTCCCCGCGTACACGACAACGGCCTCGAGTGATGGCTGCGCCTGCACGTGCGCGGAGGGCGGCCATGGCGATGCGTGCCTGCCCGTTGCTGCTCCCGAGCCACCGAGCACCGACGGCGCCGACTTGTGCGTGCGGGACGTGAGTGTAGACGTGGAGGTGAGCGCCGGTCTCGGGACGTCGGTGGTGTGCTACGTTGGTGTGACCTTTGCGGCGGACGTCGTGGTGGACTTGGGGTCGATGTCAGGGAGCGTGCGCAACGTGACGCTGGCGAACTGCACGTTTTTGGGCGGAGCGAGCCTGTACGTTGTGGGGTGGCGGTCCGACCCGACTGCTGGCGAGCGCGTCGATGTGTTGATCAGCGGGCTTGAGTCGCGCTCCGGCGGCGGCGTGCTGGTGGCGAACCGATTTCCGCCGGGCTCGCGCGTCACTGTGGTGGACTCGGTGCTGATTGCGGAGAGGCGTGTTGCGTACCGCGGCGCCTACGGCCTTGGCGACGCGTCCGCGTGCCTCGTGGTGCACAGCGTGAATCTGACGGGGAGCGTGCTGACCATCGCGCGCACGCACGTGGTGGCGGTGTTCCGCGAGGCTGTTGGCGTGTTGTTTGT